AAGTATTTATGTCTGTAATCTATTTATTCTAGAAATAGACCCTGGAGGCCAGCCCAGGGGCCCAGAATTCAATGATCCAATGTCCAATGTATTTGGGTTATGTAATTTTCTCCGATAAAGGCTAAAGAAATTGAATACATCATTTTTTATTTATTTCATATATCTAATTTACTGAGCTTTTTAAAAATACACCCTCGAGGCCGGCCAAGAGACCTAGAATTCAACGATCTAATATATTAAATGTATTCAATTTCTCCAGTAAATGCTAGAGAGATAAATAAAATGAATTAGTCAATTCATTAACTTCACTAACCTTTTCTGGAAATTGAGGGAAACCCAATGAACTATGTAAATTCATTTCATATACTAAAAAGTTTTAGCCGGCTTAGTTTTTCTAAATAGACAGTGTAGGCCAGCCAAGGGGCCTAGATTTCAATCATTTATCTAAGTAATTTCACCAGTATTCAATTTCTCCAGCAAAGGCTAGTGAATTTGAATTGTTGACATGCATTAACCACGTTTTATATTGTTATAAATTCTTCCACGAAAGCCATAAAAGTAATTAAATTACACACATTACATCATTAAGTTCTAAGTCCCTAGGCTGGCCTTCAGGGCTTGTTCGAATCACATTATCATGACCTTACTAAGAATGGGTAAAAGGTAGATCTTAGGGGGGAGGGGGTGCAACTAACTAAAATAATACAAAGAACTGAAAGAATTGTCATAATATAAATACACTGTTACATCTAGTTCTTATTGTCTTAAAAATGTTCTTCAGAATACTGTAAATACTTAAAATGATTTTTTGATTTTTTTGAATATTTGCAACAATTACATGGAAGGGAATCCTCTTCCTTTCAGTAGCATGAATGAATTACAGGATTCCCTGAATCAGGTGTATTGTCATTTCAGGGTGGGTTCTGGGGGGGAGGGGGGTGTTCGCATATATATATATATACAAATGTATATTTCATGGTTTTCACTGGCATTAAATGCCTGACCATGAAAACCCTTGCAATCAAAACCAAAGACCATGCAGTTTCAATTTCCTGGACGATTTGATTTTCTTGGTGCGTCCAAGGCTTTTAAATTCCGGGCATGTGCTTTTTTTTGTCTCTGTTTCAATGGGTTTGGTCTTACAAACAAAGAAAACTCTTGTAGTCAAAGCTGGCGCTTTCAACTTTCATTGCTAAGTTGAAATCATTAGCTTTGGGTTTTGACCGTTTGTTCAATGTTGCCATGGTCATGGATTGGTTCTCATTTTTGTTTTTGAAAGCTTCAAGGGTTTTGGGGTCTTGGGTTCTGAAGTTGGTGAACATTGTTGTCTGCATGCTGTTCCCAAGCCATACAACAAACAGGTTCCCACAGCGTCCTCCTCCCAACCCTAAACCCTAAACCCTAGAACCCTAAACCCTAGAACCCT